CACCCTCTGTGAAAAAGTTGCCCCTTACGTCCCTTTTAAATCTTTCCCATTTCATCTTAAATCTATGCCCTTTTTGATTCTTTAGCCTGGGGGAAAGACCTTGGCTGTTCACCCCGTCCAAGCCTCTCACAATTTTACAAACCTCTATAAGGTCACCCCTCAGTGTCCGATGTTCCAGGGAAAATAGCCCCAGTCTATTCAGCCTCTCCCTGTAGCTGAAACCCTCCAACCCTGGTAACATCCTTGTAAATCTGTTCTGAACCCTTTCAAGTTCCACAACATCTTTCCTACAGCAAGGAGACCAGAATTGAATGCAGTATTCCAAAAATAGCCTAACCAATGTCCTGTACAGCTGCAAAATGACCTTCCAACACCTGTATTCAATGCACTGACAAATAAAGGCAAGCGTATCAAGCACCTTTTTCACTATCCTGTCTACCTGCGTCTCCCCTTTCAAGGAACTATGAACCTGTACCCAAGGTCTCTTTGTTCAGCAACACTCCCCAGGTTCTGCCCTGATTTACCTTACCAAAATGCAGCACCTCATAGTTATCTAAATTAAACTCCGTCTGCCATTCCTCGATCCTTTTTCCCATCTGATCAAGGTTCTGTTGTACTCTGAGGTAACCTTCTTTGCTGTCCACTACACCTCCAATTTTGGTGTCATCTGCAAACTTACTAACCATACCTCCTACATTCACATCCAAATAATTTATATAAATGACAAAATGCAGTGGACCCAGCACCGATCCTTGCGGCACACCACTGGTCACAGGCCTCCAGTCCAAAAAGGAACCCTCTACCATCACCCTGTGTCTTCTACCTTCAAGACAATTCTGTATCCAAATGGCTAACTCTCCCTGTATCCCATGTGATCTAACCTTGCTAAGCAGTCTGCCATGCAGAACCTTGTCGAATGCCCTGCTGAAATCCACATAGACAATGTCCATGCTCTGCCTTCATCGATCTTCTTCATCACTTTTCACAAAGCTCAATCATATTAGTGAGACACAAATGCCCACGCACAAAGCCATGTTGACTATCCCTAACCAGTGCTTGCCTTTCCAAATGTATGTAGATCCTGTCCTTCAAAATCCCCTCCAACAACTTGCCCACCACCAATGTCAGACTCACCGGTCTACAGTTCCCTGGCTTTTCCTTACTACCTTTCTCAAATAGTGGCACCACGTTAGCCAACCTTCAGTCTTCCACACCACACCCATGGCTATCGATGATAGCAGGGAGCAGGTGGGGGGTGGAGCAGCAGCAGAGCGTGTGTATAAAACTAACAGAGCTCAGGGATCGCGGCCTAGTCTGCAGGGAGCAGTCGGAGGGTGGAGCAGCAGCGCAGAGTGAGTATAAAACTAACTGGGCTTGCGGCACATTGTAGCTGCGAGAAAAAACTGGAGCGACATCACAGGAAATCTGCAGTAAATTTGAAAAAGAAGACAGCAAAGAAGTATTAATAAATTAATTAACTCATTAATAAATGTGTATAAATTAATAAAGTAATTAGCTAAATCGAGATGGCTGGGCAGGTGATGTGCAATAGCTGTATGATGTGGGAGCTGGCTGATCCCATTGCGAACTGCATGACCACATCTGCAGCAAGTGTTGGTTGCTCGAGGAACTTTGACTCAGAGTTGATGAGCTGGAATCTGAGCTTCAAACACTACGGCACATTTGGGAGTGCGAGAAGTACCTGGATGCTTTGTTTCAGGAGGCGGTCACACTTGGGACATTAAATATTTCAAATTCAGTCAGTGGTCAGGGACAGCAGGGTGTGATTGCAAGTGAGACAGGTAGGAGGATCCTGAATTCAGGAACAGAGGAGCCTCAGCTTTTGACCTTGTCCAACAGGTACGAGGTACTTGCTCCCAATGAGGGTGAGGAAAAGGGCTGTAGGGAGGTTGAACCAGCTGACCACTGCACCATGGTACAGGAGGCCATTCAAGAGGGGGGAATCAAGAACACAAATGGTAGTTGTAGGGGACTCTGTATTTAGGGGGATTGATAGCATCCTTTGTGCGCAGGATTGAGAGACCCGCATGGTGTGTTGCCTGCCCGGGGCCAGGGTGAGGGACGTCTCTGACCAGTTTGAAAGGATATTGGAGCAGAAGGGCAAGGATCCAATTGTTGTGGTCCACATTGGAACAAACAACATAGGCAAGGCTAGGAAGGAAGACCTGTTTGGGGATTATCAAGCACTAGGAACAAAATTAAGGAACAGGGCCTCAAGGGTTATAATCGCCAGACTACTACCCAAGCCACATGCAAATTGGCTTAGGGATAAAAAAATCGGGGAAGTAAGCACATGGCTAAAGGAGTGAGAAAGAGGGGTTCCATTTCATGGGGCATTGGCATCAGTTTTGGAACAGGAAGGATCTGTACCGTTGGGACAGTCTCCACCTGAACCAATCTGGAACCAGTGTTCTAGCAAAAAGGATAAATAGGGTGGTCACTAGGACTTTAAACTAGTGAACTGGGGGGAAGGGAAGGGGAAAACCACAGGAAGTATAATGGGAAATAGAGAAGAAAGCAGCAGGTTAATGTGTGCAAGAGGGTTTAACTACATCAAAGACTATGAGAGATGTTAAAAGGAAGGAAAACTCAGGAGATGTTATTAATGGAGATGTTATAATTCAAAAAGAAGGCATAAAAACTAGCATAAAGGCACCTTACCTGAATGCTCGTAGCATTCATAACAAGGTAGATGTGTTTACGGCACAAATCATTGCGAATGAGTATAATTCAGTGGCCAGTACGGAGACATGACTGCAGGATGGTCTTGACTGCAAGTTAAATATCCAGGGGTATCAGACTATTTGGAAGGACAGATAGGAAGGTAAGGGAGGTGGTGTAGCTCTGATATTTAAGGATGACATCAGGGCGGTAGTGAGAGATGATGTAGGTTCTATGGAGAATAAAGTTGAGTCCATTTGGGTGGAAATTAGAAATTCTAAGGAGAAAAAGTCACTGATAGGTGTAATCTTTAGGGGCCACCAAATAATAATGTCACATTGCGGCAGACAATAAACAAAGCAATAACTAATGCCTGCAAAAATGGTACGGCAATTATCATGGGGGATTTTAATCTACATGTCGATTGGTCGAACCAGGTGGTCAGGGCAGCCTTGAGGAGTTCATTGAGTGTATCCGCGATAGTTTTCTTGAACAGTATGTAATGGAACTGATGAGGGAGCAAGCTATTCCTCTATCTGACCCTGTGTAATGAGACAGGAATAATTAATGATCTCATAGTTAGGGATCCTCTCGGAAGGAGCGATCACAGTAAGGTTGAATTTAGAATACAGATGGAAAGTGAGAAGATAAAATCCAATATCAGAGTCCTGCGCTTAAACAAAGGAGACTACAATAGGATGAGGGAGCAGCTGGCTAAAGTAGACTGGAAGCAAAGACTTTATGGTGGGACAGTTGAGGAACAGTGCCTCCACTTTCAAAGCAATTTTTCAAAGTGCTCAACAAAAGTATATATCAGTGAAAAGGAAGGATAGTAGAAAAAGGAGTAATCAGCCACAGATTTCTAAGGAAATAAGGGAAATTGAAAGATAAGGCATACAAAGTGACAAACACCAGTAGGAAACGAGAAGATTGGGAAAACTTTAAAGGTCAGCAGAAAGCCACAAAAAAGCTGTAAAGAAAAGCAAGATTATGAGAGTAAAATAGCTCAGAATATAAAGACAGAGAGCAAAAGTTTATACAAACGTAAAAGGAAAAAGAGTGGCTAAGGTAAACATCGGTCCTTTAGTGGATGAGAAGGGGGATTCAATAATGGGAAATGAGGAAATAGCCGAGGCATTGAACAGGTATTTTGTGTTGGTTGACTCCAGAGTTGAGAGGATTGGCTTATGAGGAGGGACTGAGTAGACTGGGATTATATTCATTGGAATTTAGAACAATGAGGGGGGATTTTATAGAAATATATAAAATTACAAAGGCAATAGATAAGATAGAAGCAGGTAGGATGTTTCCACAGATGGGTGAAACTAGAACAAGAGGGCATAGCTTCAAAATTAGGGGGAGCAGATTTAGGACTGAATTGAGGAGGAACTTCTTCACCCAAAAGGTTGTGAATCTGTGAAATTCCCTGCTCGGTGAAGTAGTTGAGGCTTCCTCCTTGAACAGTAAAGGAATTAAGGGTTATAGTGAGAGATGGGTAAGGGAAGCTGAGGCTACATGGTGGAGTGCGCATGAAGGGCCAGTTGGCCGACTCCTGCTCCTGGTTCTTATTGGTATAACAGCATAAGAAGAACATATCTCAGCAAGGGTCCCAACAATCACTCCCCTACCTTCCCAAAAAGTTCTGGGGTACACCTGATCAGGTCCCAGGGATTTATCCATCTTTATTGATACTGGACTCGAAATGTTAACTCTGCTTTCTTTCCACAGATTGTGCCAGACCTGCTGAGTTTCTGCAACAATTTCTGTTTGTGTATCATAAAATGCCTGAACAGGTTGATTTTAAAATACTTAAAACAGCATGAGGGTGCAGCGGCTGTGTTACTACCTCTGATCCAGGAGGTGAAGATTCAAGTCGTCCCTGTGCCAGCAGTCTGTCATAATATCCCTGAAGGCTTAAAAATACCTAAACCAGACTTGAACCATCAATGTGGTAAAACTCTAGAGATTATGAAAACTTCTGCTGATAATGAAATTTTTTATATGCAAAAAATCCAAAGATGGGTCTTGAAGACTTCAAGTATTGGGGCCAAGGCTATTTCCTTAGCAGCTTATCCCGTTATAATATTTTCCGGGATCTGGAAAGTTTCCACTCACCTCGATTTCTCCGCAGCGTTCCACCAAAACGAGACAGAAAGTTCCGCTACAAACTTGCCCTTTTCAGACGGTGTATTTCAGCCGCTGGCTGCGGTGTAATCCTCCCGCCACTAGTTGTGCTGCTGCCTCCTGCCCGCTGCTCGCTGCAGTTTCAGAGGTGGCGTGAGCGCCAGCGGGAGGCGCTGTCGGGGGAGGGTATTTGGAAGGTCAGTGCCGGGGCTCGAGCCGCGGCCGTTGGAGCTGGAGTGGGTGCCGGCGGTCGGAGGTGGCGGCTCGGACAGCAGGCGGCATGGGGAAGGAGCAGTTCAGGGAGACGGATGTGGCCAAGAAAATGTGAGTTGGGACGGCTGGAGCTTCAGTGGAGAGCAGGGCCTGTTCGTGGAAGACGTGAGGGAGAGGAGAAGGAGGGAAGACATGAGGGGCTGGGAGACAGGAAGGGGGAAGAGACATGAGGGGGAGGGGAGACATGAGGAGAGGAGGAGGAGAAGACATGAGATATGAAGAGGAGGAGAAGGCGGGGGGGGTCATGAGGAGATGGGAGATATGAGGCAG